GACTCTGGAGAGGGTTTAAGGCTTGGCTAGACAAGGCAAGAGATGATCTGAGCTAGTGTTGGTAACAACCCTGCTGCTTATGGGAGATGGGGCCAGAGGCACCCAGAGATCCTTCCCAGCAGATCCTTCTATGACTAAACTGACATTAAAATTGAATAAACATGGCCTTGTGTTGACTTAACCTTCCCAGTGAGCATGTTGATCTGGTTTTGTTGACATGCTCATTCCTAGAAACCGATTCTCACTAAATACAAGTGAAAAGGGGGGGTGGCCTGTTTGTTACCTGAAAAAACAGAAGTTAGGTATTTGATTAGTTTCCCTCTGGCTCTGGGAAGCTGGCAGGGGCTGCACTGCCTGAGATGATAATGTGCCATATTATATAAAAAGACATATGCTGTCCTTTTACAAGTCACTGCTGCTCCCTGTTACCCTGGACAGACCAGGACGTGTGTTCCTGTGCTGTCTCATGGGGAGTGAGGTAGAGGTCAGAGAAAACCCTTCTTGGTCCCCTTCCTTCCATCAGAAGCATGGAAAATGGTAAGGAATTAATCTGAAACTTTGTGGACTAAAATATAAATCCCCATTGCCTGAAAATTGCTGGATAAGAGCCAAAAAGGCCTAACAAGGAAACATATTCCTTCCAGCATAATTGTGTATTTGGCTTATATTTTATTAAATGAGTAACAGCTGAGCAGAAAGGCCAACAGGGGAGACTCCCCCCACCCTGAGGTATGTCCAAGGCAGAGGTTGGGCTGTGTGTGAGTGGCAGGTACCAGGGTGGATGATTTAGCATAAAACACTGAGGTTTAATTGTGGATTAGACTATGAGTAGCAATCAAAGTGAGTGACTAATACAGGTGTAAAGGGTTGTTGTTTTTTAATGTTTAAATTTTCTTTTGAATTCCTTGAGAGTGGGAAGAGAGGGAGCAAACCCAGGCACTGAGGTCAGGTCTGAGGGGAACTGGAGGCCTGAGGTGATAAATCATCAGCAGTGCAGTGAGATTAAGGGGGAAACTAATGTAATATATGAAGCAATACAGAAAGAGGAATTTTATTACTTCAGTCAGCTCTCAAAGGATTCCATTCCAGATGGTTAAAGCAGGGTAGATGAGGAACCCCCATCGATGGGGCCCACCATCTGACAACAGCAAAAGCAGCAGAGGGTTTCTTCTGACTCCAGCAAGAGTTTCATCAGGAGAGAGCTGTGTCTATAAAAGGATAAAATAGCTGGTATTAGTGGGAAATTTTCCTTAGTGAGGAAAGCTGGTGATGAGCGTGGACTTTTTGGCATTTTCCCCCACTAAGGAAATGTGTCTTGTTCTTGCAGAATATTTATGGAGAGGTTTAGGGATTAGTGTGCAGCTCTAAAGCACCTCCTGGCTCTGGATGATGGTGCCATTGGGCTATTGCTGATGGGAATAATGGCCTTGCTAAAGACCCCACCATAGCAGCCCTGCAAAGCAACAGCCCCAGGGATGAGTGGCAGCTCCCACCGAGCAGCCTGAGTCTCTCAAACTTGTTTTTTTCTAGATCACCAAGCAGTGGCTAGGAAGCAGTGCCCTTTATAACCCTCAGTTGAGGCCTGAGGTTAAAACAAAGGCCTGGTTCATGGGGGAATTTTCCCTGCAAGAGCTGTTGAGCATGGGCACTGCCCAGCTCCAGGTCAAAGGCAGACAAACCCTGAGGCACTGATGCAATGCCACAAACCATTGGAATAAGGGAGGCTGTTTCTCTATATGGATTTTATTTTATTTTTTTAAATTTGAGGCACTTGAGAAGAATTCTCATTTGGGGAAAGTTTGGCTGTGCTTTGCTACAGCATTAGACTTCTCTGTTGGGTGTCTTCTGCTAGAAACGTTTAGATTTATTTTTGTTTGTGTTCTGTCTTACGCAGCTAAGAAAACAGTTTTGAATAGGACACATTGTCTTGTTCCAGGGAGGAGATCTGATCTGGAGAGTGAAAAGAGCTTGCTACTTGGAGGACTGTCCACAAAAGAACGAAGCTCTGAGGACACTTCCCTGTACTGTGCCCCACTAGAGATAATGTAGAGCCAAGATGCTGGCCTCAGGAAACACAACTGTGTGAGACAGTCTCTTGTTTAAGTGTTTTGTTTCCTGGTTTTCCTAGGATTTATGTGCTCCAGTGCCTGGTGCTCTGGGTGTTGTTGCTCCTTTGGATCTGATGGGCTGGGAGGCAAGTGCCTTGAGTATTCCCTACTCCTGCTTGTAAGAAAGAGGAATCATTTTAGTTCATCATACAGTGTCACTAAAGGACATGAAATGATTCACACAAACGCTTCTCAGTGTTAGAACAGGAAAGAACCAACCTTTATTCTCTGACTCCAGTATTTATGGATTCTTGACAATGACCAGGGATTGGATAATTAAGTTACCACCTTCCCAATCACACTGGTCATGCAAAACGTCCATCAAAAGATGTTTCTTAGAAGGAATGTGATGAACAACCTATGTTTATAGAACATTCATGGGAAAGTAACTAGAACTATGAAAACATTATCAGAAGGCTTTAGTTTTCAGGGTGACAATACAGGGATGCTGCTGCACTTTTCTGACAGTCTTTAGTAGCTGGTGCTGTAGAGGAACACTGGAGTCTTTTTTTAATCAGGTGTGTGTCTCTCTAGATTTGTGTTTTGCATGTCACTGGCAACATGTGAGGAAGAAATAGTCATGAGAGGGCCAATGTTCCTGCACAACAACATTAATGGGAAATCAGTTCTGGACACACAAGTTCCTTGTGGCAGCTGAATGGAGAGTTATAATTGGATGCCTAGAGAAATGAGATGATGTTGTATGATCCGTGCATCCTGGAAATCAATCAGCACTATGGTTATAAAACATCTCCATTTGTAATATCTGCTTTGGCAGACTGGTGATAATGAAGAATTTTAAACTTGGTGTGGGAAGGAATTCTCAAGCCAACAGCAATTTAGCTGCTTGAAAACCTTGGTCTTGGCTTAGTCCAGTTTTTAGCCAAAGTGTGGATTCATCACTTTTAAGTTCTCAATTAAAAGGTCATCCTCACACCATCAAGCAGTCCAGACTCACCACACCATCAGCCATCAGTTTTCCAGAAAAATTACCCCTGTCTGAAGGATAACTGGAAATGCCTAAATGAGATTATGGAAGTGCTGTGACCTGAGCCAAGAGCAATTTTGCTGTCAAGGCAAAAAAATATTTCATTAAGACAGAAATGTTAGGAAATAGTAGTATTTTGATAGACAGTTCACCAGATGATGTTTGTGAGACTCTGTAGAAAGAGAAGCCAATGGAAATTATTTTTTACATTTACACCTAAGGCAATTGCATGGATTTATTATTACATCTGGGGCTGCAAGCCTGAGCCTGATTTATTAACTACTGTCCCTTTTGGTTTCTTATCCAGGGTGGCAAACCAGCTGTACAGTGCTCAAAAGAAGTTGAGCTGCATGTCTTGTCCTTTCAGCCTCTTTCTTGTGTTCATTTTGATCTATAAACAAACATCTCTCAGGTCTCCTAAATAGATTTTCTGATTGAGTTCCCAGAACAGACCACCACCAGCCTCATTAAAGCTTATTTATGTTACTTTCATGCATGAATAAAAAAAGCTCCCATTCACTGCTGATTTTATTTAGTTAGATTCTGTGCCCTGTGGTAGACATTGAATTGGAGTGACATTTTTGGCACCAAAAAAAAAAAAAATAGTGAGACTACAAGGAATAGTTTGACTCCTGCATCTTTTGCAGTTCAAAAAGGAAGGGGTTAACCTGTTCTTGGCTTATATGATATTGATTGAGGACACAAAGAAAATACAGCTGTAAATATTTAGGAATATTCTCTAGTAGCTGGTTTTTTTTTTTTTTTTAGGGGATAGGTCATTGAAGTGGAACTCTGGAGGTACAGCCTGTTTTCCCAGGGATGCCACCCGCTCCCTGCGTGATAGGAGGAGAAAGGTCACTCGTTGTTCTAGGTCTCAGCTCCCAGCTGAGAATGATGCTGTCTCCCTCCTCTCATTTTCTAGCTTGCTTGTTTATCTCACTAGCTTTTCATCAGAGTAACATCCACTCTGCCTCTGTGCTGAGCACAGTGGGTCCTGCTCTTGGCTGGGGCTTTTAGACACCACTAGGAGTAACAGATATGATTCTCTCTTTACGCCTGTCTCCTCCCTCTCCGTCCATGCTTCAGTGCTTGTGAGGTAAGATTAACAGCCAGAAAACCCCAAACCAACAATAAAATCAGTGTAAATGGAGAAGGAAAGATCCAGTATACGTGATAAATTGTGAGATAGGTTTGAGCGGTGTTTTTCTCCAGCCCTGCTGACCGGTGATCTCTCTCATGTAAAGGTACTGCATTTTGGGACAAGAAGGATTCGAGCCTATCCTTTAAGTCAAAGGGGTGAACAAAAAGCAGCTTTGCCTGTTTCCTTTGCGCTAAGCACATTGTGAATATTCTTAAGCATGCCACAAGGATTAACATCCCTGAATTTTAATGTGCCTGGTGCTGGAATGTAGCTGGAAAGCAGAGCAGGCAGGAATGGTCTCTCTGGGCTGTAGGCTCTGCTAGGTGACTCTTTGAAGTTCTATTCAATAGCTTTCTGTTACTCTATATTTTTTCCCTTTTCTGCCTTTTTTCCTCCTCTTTCAACCACTTCTGGAACAAGTACTGATACATTTCACGTTTCTCAAATTTACTGGACTGGATTGTTTTATCTCCACATACTTTTGCATGGCAGTAGTATTAAAATAAATTTTTTTTTTAAAAAAAAGGGCATGGGGACAGAAGTACGGAGTTTGGTGTTTACTTTGGATCATTAACCTGGTCTGTAAATTTGATTTGATCTCTCCTTTTTTTTTGTTCCTCCCTTGCTCTTTCTTTTTTCAGAGCCTTCAAAGAGACGCTGTCTTCTGTGGCTTCGGGATCCCTGCAAGAAATGGGAGTCTGATGGATTGTAAAGGCACCTGCTTTGTTTAAAACCCAGCCAAACAGATAAGTGCACTTTTAATTATCTCCGAACGGTGCTTTAGACATAGCTGTGCACAGCATCTCTCTTCAGTTTGGTGAGGCTCTGTGTTTCACCCCTGCAAATGAATGCTGTGTGGGTCTCATTTCAGCTGAGAAAAACCAGACACTATTGGTATTTCACATTAAGGTAATTAACTGGTATCTGAAGGAGCTGCAGCTGAGGGGTTGGGAGGCTCCCAGGGGTCTATCCTTGCTCTTCCAGAGCCACTGTCGCCAGCAGCCCTGTGAGGTTTTGGGACTCTGAGGAGGAACTCTGCGGGACCAGACGAGGCTGATGTGACCCATCTGAGCCTTAAAGAGTCCTGTGGGACTCATTAGAGGTTTAATAACTAAACTTGGCTGGTTTGATTGAGAAGATGCTTGTGCAGGCTTGGCACAATCTCAGAGAAACCAGCTTGTGCTGCTGGCAGGAGAAAGGGCTTTCTGCATGTGTTTGTCATATGTGTGCAGAGAAAGTGATAACCCTGCTTTCTCCCAACAGCTTCCAGGTGGGAAAAGAGCTGGGGATGGGGGAGAAAAGACCTTGGTTACCCTGAGTTTACACAGGGCATGCCAAGATGTATCGTTGGTGAGTGGTAACAAGAATTGTCCCCTCAAAGTTAGGGGAACATTTTTGTCTCTTTAGCAAGAAGGCAGCTTCTGGCTGCTTAGGTCTGCTTCTAAAGGTGACCACTGTCTCCTTCTGGATACACCACTGCAATTACTAAATTATTCAAGAAACCCATAAAATAGGGTCTCATGTAAAGTGTAACTTTGCAATAATATACAGCCATGGGGTTGGGGCAAATAGTCACCATAACGCAATTTACTGTATTAGAATAATGAAAAAAAAAGCATTGAAGCTGAGTGCATGAGCTTATTATTATTATTATTGTTGGGGATGTGTGGCAGGAGGCTGGACAAGAGCCACATTATTTACTCCAGACTTGTCTTGCCTGCTCTACCAGGGATAATTACAAGTGTGAAACGTCTGCCTTGCTATTAGGAAAACTACAGACAGGTTTGCTACAGCAAATGAGGCTGTAGCAACTGACCTGAATTCATCTTACCTTCCTAAGCAAAAGGTGAGTTTCTTGGTGAAGCTGCCAATTTAGAGAGAACAGGAGAGACAAGGATGGGAAGTGGGAGGTTGCTGCAGTTTGTGAGAACTAAATCTGGATCAACTCGTGATTCCTGAAGTGTCTGAAGTTCCCTCTTTTCTAGGAAAAGCTTCACTGCTGCTGTTATTACCAAGGAATTTTTTATATGAATAGAAGAAATGGCACGTCTGTTAGTAATGACTAAGCTCTGCCTTACAATTGTAATACTTATTCCTGACTCTTCAATACTTTGAAAGCAATTAAGCTTGACACTATATTAAGAAACACTGATAAAATGGAGCTCTAGTGAGAAAATCAGGGCTAGTTCATTCAGCAAGGGTGGAAATTAAAAAAGCTTAAACCCTCTCTGTGCACCAGCTAACACAGCTTAATGTTTTTCTGCCCTCAGAGATTCTCAAGGTATTGGCTGTTAGGTCTGCAAATTTAAATCCGTTTTCTGCCAGTGAGCCAAAATCAATGTTATCCCCATATTAGATCCCATTAAATTAACCCTAAGCTGGCCAGTCCCAGTCTGGGCAATCTGCCATTACTCCAAGTCAAATTTGGGAATCATCCTGAGGTGTGGCTGGCACGCAACATGTAATGTTTTGTGCTGCCTGGAAGAAGAAGCAGCAAACACTTAAAGTGTCTCCTGGGCTGTACTGATGAGAGAGGTGATACCAAGAGTGTTCTATGCACCTGTGCTTTGGCTGGTGCTTCCTGCAGCTGAGGAGAAAAGATTCAACAGCCCTTGTCCGGTTACTGCAAAAAAATTTTGTCCAGAAAAGAAGATCCTTGAATCCCTAACTCCTTGTCTTACAGGTGAGCCTTGAGGACACCTGGGAGACTGTAGCTCCTGAATGCATGACCTTCCCCTGTGATTAGAAGAAAGCCATGGGGAAAGACAAGAAAGAAGAGGCCATCTTCCTGAGGAAAAAGATAACTTTGCTGCGGGCTTTCTCGCTGCTCATCGGCAGCATGGTTGGCAGCGGCATCTTTATTTCCCCCAAAGGAGTACTGAAAAACTCCGGCAGCGTGGGATTCTCCCTGGTCGTGTGGTTTTCCTGTGGGCTCTTCTCCATGTTTGGTGAGTGCTGAGATTTGGCAGCCTTTGCTTAAACACCTGGCAGGTGAGGGGAGCCTGTGCATTTTTGTGTTTAGAAAGTTGGGAGATGAATAAACCCAAAATTCCTGGTTCCTACTGCCACAAAGGTTTAAGAAGTCCGGGAATGGTCACTAGGAGTTTTCAGTTCAAATGATTTTCCTGAGGCAATGGAGAAACTTCCAGCACTTATGGTCTGTGAATATCAATTCATGTACAAGTCCAGGGCAGGGGAGTAACAGTGACTGCAGATGGAGACAGCCTGGTTTCTGCCAGGAAAGCTGGGAGAGAATGAGGGGACTCCTTCTGTAAGGTAGAAAGGAGATGTAGGCACCTAAAAGGGAATCTGAGGGCTGTGCTGTTCTTTTCACAGACACTGTGAAGAGAGTAGGGAGTCCCAATATGCCCCATGGGACCCCCTTTCTGTCAGAGAGAATAGCTGGAGCAGAATTCTTGGGGAGCTGCAGGGTATGCACCAGCCCAGGGCAGGTGTTGGGTGTCCGTAAGAAATGGTGTGGGTATGTCTGATGCTGCCCCATTTTCTGTGTGTTGCTATTGGCTTGATTTCTGTCATTTAATACCAGTGTTTTCTCACAAAGTGTTGTCTTTTTGATGACAGTTTCATTCTAGTTCTTTTGAAATAACATAGCTCTTGTAAGTTACAGTGGATAAAACACATGGCTTTTAGTTTCTTTCATTAACTGCATAAGGTCACCATCTCAGAAACTCTCTGAAGGTGCTATTAGGACAACTGTAAGTTGTCCCAGACCAGGAGAGAAATCTGATGCTTATTACAGTGGATGACTTTAACATTCCTCTTCTGTTGTAACTTACTAAAAAATAAAACAAAGAAACAAAAAGCCAAACAAAACAAAAACAATAAAAGCTAACAAAAAAATCCCCAAAACCAAACAAAAAAAATAAACAGAAAAACCCCAACAAAAAAAAACCCCAGAAACCAAAAACCAAAACCAACCAACCAAACAAAAAAATAAACAAGAAAGGAAAAATAGTCCATGTGAAGAAAGCCCACTTTGATACTGTGGCTTGTACACGCAGGTTTAGAAATTGAGACATTCAATTGGTAATAGGGCAGTAAGTTGTTCTTGCTGTCAGCATACGTGTACCAATATTTCACATTGCAACCTTTGTGTGGTTGTTTGGTGAATTATTCACTTCTGCTTAAGGAAAAGCTGACAATATAATGTGAGCATGATTTCTTCTAACCAATCAGCGCAGTAAATGATAATGTGAGTGCTGATCACACAGCCAAGCTCTGCACTTGCAAAGGTTTCTCCCTCTGCAGCATCCTTTTATACACTCTGCTGGAAGAGCCTTGGGAGCCTCTTTATCAAGTGATTGCATTTTGTAGCTGGATTTGTTGGTTTGTTCTTCCCTTTTATCAGCTTGATGACCTCCCCTGATCATTTCTCTGACACTTTTTTGCATTATATTTAAAAGGCCTGCTTTTCTTTATGCTTTTTTTTCCTCTCAAGTGGGGCATATATACAAGTCCCTTTACATGAATTCAGCAACATACTTACATGCATGCTTGAAGCCTTTAAAGGGACTCACTGGAATAAACAAGATGAGCTGTCTGCCTATATTGGGTGCTTTGAACAGGAGTTCTGCACAAATTTACCAACAGGGAGGCAGGAAACATTGAGGCTGTCACCATCCTGCATGACCTGAATATGTCATGAATGCCATTGGACTTGGAGGCATGGTCATGTCACCACTGGATTCAAGGGAGGGAAGGGATTTATGTGAAGATGCAAGATAGGACACAAGAATGTTGCCTGAGATCAAAAACATGATTGGAATGACCAGTTCAGCCACGGCCTGTGGTTGAGCTGCTGTAGCTGCTTTGTAAGCACCATTTCACCAGTCTAACTGTGAGGAGAAGTAAGAATCCAGGGCATCTTTCAAAGAAAACCTCTTGTAGCTCTGTGCAGCATTTCTCTCATGCACCTTTATTCAGAGCTTCCATGGAAATGTTGTAACATTAACCACAAAATAGAGAATTTCTTTCCACCTGACAGGTAAGCCAATTACTTCAAAAGTTCAAACCACAGTAGTGCACAAAAATAGGGAAAAGCAGTTCTGTCAAACCTCTTTTTCTTCCTCTCATTCACTGCTTATTTTAAATGGATTTGTTCAATCCCTGAAGAAATCACACAGAAAAGGGAAAATCCCTGGGATTATTTACTTGGTACGTTTCTACCTGAACTTTTCCAGGTGCCTTGTGCTATGCAGAGCTTGGAACAAGAATCACCAAGTCCGGAGGACATTATATCTACATTTTGGAGACACTAGGGCCTCTGCCAAGCTTCTTATTCCTGTGGGCAGAGTTTTTTGCTATCAGGTAAGAGATTTGGTTCGCTTGCCTCTTCATGGATGCAGTGTTAATTTAAAATACCAAAAATTATGGGACCAGGTAACAGTCCAGGCAGTTTGTAAACAAAAGAGTAGAAACAAGATGAATGATTTTTAAAGATTTTTCAGTGATAAAAGGAAGAAGACGCAATGTGGAAATAGTTAGAAATGTTAAATATATTCTGTACTTGAATAATAACTCTCTTTTCCCCTGGCAGCTCATATCCCCCAAGAGCTGTGGTGTATTTCAGACAATAGATGCCAAATTTATTTCAGGTCTTCTGTTTTCAGTGTGAAACTTTTTTGGTTGCTCCAGATTTGGAAAGTGGAGACAACTTCCTGGCTTACTCCCAAGTCAAATAATTCATAAAATTGTGAACCACTTATTTTTTTAGCATTAAAAAGGAAGTCCTCCCCTCTCAATAACCTGTATCCTTCATGTAAGCTTAGATGAAGCAGAACATATGAACTACACTCGCATTGCTCAGTATGATTAATCTCAACTTTTGCTTTCAAGTTGGAAATTAATCATTTTGCAGCATGTGGTTTTTAACCCATTCACTAAGAAAAACCTATGAGAAAAACTCGATGGGAATTCACCATCTGCATGGGTGAGAAGATTAAGCCAGGGGGGGAAACTTGCTCCCCTTCCCAAGTTTTGTGCAGTTTTACTTCATGCCACTTTCCAGCCATCCTCAGGCCAGATTGTGCTTGGTTCCCCCCCACTCCAGGCCTGCCAACAGTGCTGTGGTTTCCCTGGCATTTGGTCGCTATATGCTGGAGCCGTTTTTCACCCCCTGTGCTGCCCCTGTCCCTGCGGTGAAGCTGGTCTCTCTCCTGGGCTACTGTAAGTACTAACACCTATGGGATTGTCTGTCCTGGCCTCTCTGCCCTAGACTAGGAGCACTTATGGGGTGTTATTTCTGGGACAGCTGTGGGGGAAGGGTCCTGTCTTACCTCCTCAGCTAACCAAAAACGTTCTGATTCAAGGTGATGGTGTTGGGCCACATTATTCTCTAGGAAGGGGAATGGGCCTCCCTGTTGACTAACCGGAGCCCTAGGTAGGAGAATTTTGCCAGGTGTGGGAGCAGAAACTCTCAATGTGTAATTGTGCAAGAGTCACATGAGTTGTGGGTGTAAGGCTTGAGGTTTTGGACTCGTCTCCTGGTGCATCCAGCCCATGAAACTGTTCTGCCTGCTCCAGACTGGTGTGGGCTGGCACAGGGAATGCTGTGAAGTGGGCTGCTGAGATGTCCCACACCTTTCCCCCAGGCAGGTGTGGATTACCCAGAAGGAACCAGGTTCTGTTCCCTTTTAGGAACATAAGTCAGCCCCTTCTTTAAACACTGTATGCTGGACCACACCAATGTTTTCTGACATCTCTCACCCCGGGCATCCTCTCTAAGGCATAAAGATGTGGCTTTCCCCCAGCATCCCCAGGGCAGGGAGAGCTGCTGTATTTTTTCCTGTGTGTGTTGAGCACAGGCTGCAGCTGTAGCAGTGTGGTTTTCTCTCCAGACATGGTCCTCACCCTCAATTCCTGGAGTGTCACCTGGAGCGCGCGGCTGCAGACAGCTCTCTCCGTTGTCAAACTCCTGGCTCTTGCACTCATCATCGTGCCAGGGATGATGCTGCTGGCCCAGGGTAGGTGTTGCTGCATGGCTGAGGGAGGGTGCTCGATGTGTCCCCTGTCATGGCTTTTATCAGTCCCAAGTGACAAGTGTGGTGTTCACTCAGCTGGCAGGAGCTTTCTCTGTCCATGTGCCAGATGTGAATTATCTGGGAGCTGAGACCGGCGTAGCTGGCACTGGGCTGATGCACCTGGCTGGTTGGTGCTTTCTCCAAAATTTAGTGGGTCTTAGCACCAGAGAATGTGTGATCCTACCCAGGGTCATACAGACACCTTTCTCTGCAGATGGTCTTTGGAGTCAGACTTGCCTATTTCCTGTGTAGCTCAAAATCTTTCCAAAGCAGCATATATTTGATGGACATTTAGGCTATATGACAGCATCCCCTGTGCCATCGCAGCTGTGCCAGTCACAGCTGTGAGTTACCAGCCCTCAGCTGAGCCCTGGTAATGGCATCTCTAACCCTTCTGTCACTTAATGTTTTTTACCTCCAGATTGAGATGGGTGGTAATTTAGTGAATTGACAATGAACTTTGTAGAGGATTTCATGCCTGCATGCAGTGGGGGAGAAAACCCTGCCAGTAGCATCTTCTGTGAATGATACAAGAGTATTGGCTTTAATCCAAGCCTCAGTTTATAGAAAAGCCCAAGGCATTCCCACTCAAGGGATGAAGCCTGCTCCCTCTTCGTGCTATTACCTTCTTCTGCAGAGAAAACACCACAGGCAGTGGGCTTCACGTTCATGTTTCTTTCTGATGTCTGGAGCTGGCTCCTTTGAACATGCAAAGCTCCCCTTGGGCTGGCAGCACTACTGAACTAAATGACTGCCCTGCAGCTAGGAATCCCGAGCCATTATTGTTAGGAATGCCTTCAAATGACAATCTGGAGCCCTGGCACCCCTCCTCTGGAGGGGAGGATAAGTGCAGGTGACATCTGGAGGGAGAATTCACCAAGAGGCTCCAGTATGACAGGTTCTATTTAATGTGACTCACAGGGGACTGAAAAGTGCTCATTAATGCATTGCAGGCAATAAATCCTTTTCATGCACCATCACTTATCAGCTATAATTTTAGAACATAAAAAAAGTACCCCAATAGGCCCACTCCTATATTTTGGGTTAGTTTTCTTCAAACCAATTTTCAAATTGATGTCTTTTTTTTTTTTTTTTTTTTT